GGGCACGCGCGTGGGCTCGCGTGCGTGTGTGTGCGGCCCAGTGGTTTAGGATTATCGTGTGGGCACATTCACAGCGAAGGTACAAGACCTTAAGGCCGCTCCCATTGAACAATAAACCATTGTTGGCAGTCGGCCGAGAGCAGTCACCAGCGAAGGCACATGACCTTGAGGCATTCTGCATTGACAAAAAGATCGTTGTATGCAGTCGGCTACAGACACGATGCGTCAAGCCAGCGTGCAAGGTTATGCTGACATTCGCTTAGGCTAGGCTCCTAACAAAAGCGTGGTAAAAGCGGATCTCCGTTTTCACCTCTGCTCTGACTGCTAACCCTTCAAATCCTGCTCGCGAGTCTTCTGCCTAAGGATGACAATGAAGAGTGAGCACTATTTCGGGACATGGTTAACAGCATGACAGCGGACGGTCATAGCGAATACCATGAAATACGAGTGAGCATGTTGTATCAAAAATCTTTTCTGTCTGTTGGTTGCGTTTATGAGCGGGATCGGAGATGAGTTGACATTTTTTCCGACACTTCCTGTTCATCATTTCTCCTTCCTTATGTGTGTGCTTAACAAGATTGAATGCCGATTGTCTGCATACTCGTACAGTTCGGTGCATAAATCATGTAACATGCCGAAGTTTTCGAAACATTGATAATCACTCGCAAACTGGCATTAACGAATGTACGAAAACTTAGAAGTAATGATGAACAACCTTAAGCAAATTTGTCACTTAAATATAAGAATTAGTAATTGTTTTTCAAGAAAAACAAAATTTTCTTAATAATCTCCAAGTTCCGTAGATGTAAAAAATAGCTATAAATTAGAACAACAAATTTAAATCTTTCCTTAATTTGAATTAATTACCCCACCCGCTTTCTTTATATAAAGAGAACATTTCTTTAATCAAAATATTTTAAACACGTTATTGTTATTTATTTACAATTACTTACAAATGAACCTTTGAATGCCGATAAGCTTTCCAGCGTTTTCAGTATCTCCAAGCTTTCGTCCATCAATCCAGATCCCTTTCGACGTTTATGTCAAAACCTTTAAACTAAGATATCGATTAAAGAATTTACCGAAAAAATGAGTTTTTGGATATTAGTTCGTATGAAGATGGCCACGTGTAAATATTCTTCCGAACAGTAAAACACATTGTCGAGGAAAAAGAACTTCCCTAACAACAATCTGATATATATTATTCCTAAGATTAATAAAAACAACTTTCTATAATAGGTTACCTCTTTAAAAAAGCACTTTATCAGATATGCAGCTGACGATTTTCTGTGCGTATTACCTTTTTTAAGGTTATGTCAAAATGAAAATGGAGATTTTTGTCAAGCTTCTTAATTTACCTGAAGACAAATGATTACATTTGACTGGAAATGAAAGAACTCATTTTCTTCTTTAGATTGGATTATTTTCCGCCATAGTGGATTACTTCCAGGCTCTTTTATAAGCTTACTTTTTGTTCTGCCTTTTTTGTAGCTCTACGCTTTGGGGTCTGCTGCGCAGGTGACCACTGCGGGCTTAAAGGCCTTCCTCCAGAGTTCAACCAAGACACCTACGCCGCGACCGCTGAAGGGCGGCGGTAATCCACGCGCAGTGCAGAAGCCCCTGGTACTCCTTTTCAGCCGCAGTGAGTTGCCTGTGCGTCAGTAGTTTTCAGGTGCTAACTTCCGACAGTATCTCCTCTACTCGATTCGCAAATATTTTCCTATTCTACTTCCCTAGATCTTGACTACTTCACACCTTTCATGGTGCCAATGACATTTGAGGCCCTAATTCACGAGGCTCTCGGAGTCGACAACGGCAAGTTTTACGATTCATAACAGAATGTTTCAGCCATGCTTCTCCCAATCCTGGCATTTCCCCTTCACGCCTTTTTTTCAATTATTTATGCCCCCTGAGAGCTTTGTGCTATTTGGCGCTGGTGTCGCCCACAGGAGGTGCCTGGTTATGGATAGGCTAAATTCCTACATGTTCGATCATGTGGTTCCTAATTTGCATGATATTTTACCCTTAATATCGTAATTCGACTAAGATTCCTCAAAGAAACACG